GGGGATTTTATTGGCGATGTAGAGACTGAGATACAGGACGTACCATACCTTACTCTAACTTTCACTATGTGAACTTTAAACTAGCTTAGTTTGTTTATTTTTATTTGATTTAATTATTTTATTTATTTTCTATGACTTCGACGTCGTATGTTGGAAATTTACTTCGGGTGTCGAGTCGAATTTCACTTCGGATGTTGGAAAATTCGTATGTTTAGGCTCTAGAGAGGCTCTGCTGTCGTGATGGATTGGAAAACCCGGTTGTCAATTCACAGGCATCTGAGCTACCAAAAATACTTAATCTAAAAAATCTTTTACGCATCTGGGGCTCTTTCAGAGCCAAACCAAACTACTGTCATTTTCAGGCTATAAGTCGCACATTTTGACGTCTTTTGGCCCCAGAGCGACTTATAAATGAAAAATATACCGGTAGATTCTCAATTAATTGACCAAAATAAAACTGTTTTACATGACAGAGTCGCTCTATGTTTAACAATGGCCACCGGAAACGGAAATGCAATGCATCATGGGCAACGTAGTATGACAAATATTTCATCATCTGAACTTTTCATGTTAAGTTGACATACCTGTAAGTCCATGCGACTTATTTATGGTTTATTTTTCTTTATAAAGCATGTAGTAAACTGGTGCGAGATCAGAATCCGAAATATCATAATCAGAACTAGTCCAGAAAATACGGTAGTTTTAATATGATGCCACATCAAAATTAGCTTTTCTGGAAGCTTTGTGGGACAACGATGACCCCAAAGCCAGTGCCAGTATCTCAGATTTCCCATCAAAGGATCCATAAGCTCCGGCGGCCATGTTTGTTTAGGCGTCACATGAGCTTCATGTTGGCACTGCTGGACATCTTTGGGGCTATTTGTGATGTCCGGTGCAGGGGTGCTGACCTTCGGCGACGGCGGCCACGGAGGAAGAGGAGGCAGCCACGAGGGCCTGTTCGAGACCAACCAGCTGCTGAGGAGGGAGAGCAGCCAGGGCGCCGTCCAGCGGGCGCAGGCGGCCGCCGCCAAAGCCCGGGCTCTGGCCATGTGACCCGGGGACCCCGGTACCTGGACCGTCCCCACCCCCAAACCCGTCCCAACCCGTTCGACTTGCCGTTTTTCCCCCCGTCCTGCTCTTTTTAAGCTTCTGTAACCCAGGTGACGCTACGGGTTTGCCCCGTTCTGATTGGGGATCAGCTCAGCCCAACACAGATTCTCTCTTCAGCCACTCCACTGGTGCTTCGTTATTACCCGACCAAAGCTCTGGGAGGGAAGGTGGAAATGACCCTTTCCACGCAGACAAAGTGACTTCCATGTGAACAGGACGGTTTCAGTGGTCCATGCAGAATGCCTGGGGGTCTATCGGGTCGGAGGGTTTACAGAAAGAGCTCCGACATTCGTCTCTGTAGACGACGAAAGTCCCTCAAGAGACTGAGGAGGTCCAGATTGGCGGAAAGTAGATGTTCTTTAGTCGATGAAAGGCAGAACAAATGAGCTTTTAAGATGCCTTTGTGTTGGAATTCACTGAGTTGTGGAACTGGTGAAACTGAACCAAACTAAAGCCCACTTTAAGGCGCCCGTCCAGACTATTTCAGAGCATCGGCGCCACGTTTCGGACGCTCTGTTCGAAATCCAAATTGTTCACATGGAAGTGACACACTGGAAGAAACTGTGAGTCGTTTTTGGGTGGGTTTTTTCTTTTCACTTCGTGCC